GGAAGCCTAACGTGACCCATATGTCCGAGTCTACTTTTCAGGGTTTTCACACCCTCATGCCAGGTTTTAGCTTCACCGCTCTCGACTAGTTTCACCTAAACAAGAATACATACATCACAGTACCGTAAGAGTGTCCAGATGGAGAGACAGAGCCAATCATGTCTGCGGAAGCGTTTTCGTATGTCCGTCAGGCTCTCAGATAAGATCCGCCACAGCCCTTAAGCCGTTCAACCATAGAATGAGTGCTTCGAAAATCCGGCGCTTGAATGTTAGTCCGTTTTTAATCGATTTCTGTCCATTTTTATTTAATTTTGTCACAGATTTAATTCTTGAACCAGCCTTATCCTCGTGCGAGGATAGCGGTATCGATTTACTCCCAGGTGGTAGACTGTCTGATCTAGAGTAAACAGACGACATTGTACTGCCAAGGGCAGTGTCTGCTTACCATTGTACGAATCTGATGGGGTAGCCGGATGGACAATACTGAGGTTAGGCGTAGAATTTTAGGTAATCGCGGTCATGCGCTGGAGCTAGTGGTCGACCTTCATAGGTTAGGCTGGTTCAGCGACATCTTGAACGCTGGGCGGAGCAGTTCAAAGCACAGTTTAGCTGGCCACCAGCGTCAGTTCCTCACAAAGCTATTCCGGCACACATCCCATGGTATGTCACAACCGATCCACCTTCGGAGGCGGAAATCCGTAAGAAGATCCAAGCCTTGGGACGACACAGCGCCGGGCTCCGTTGGTCCTCTCGCTGCTCTATTTAAAGATGGTGGAATAAGGCTTGGTAGAGAACTCCACGTCTTGTTCTCCATAGTGTGGAACACTGAGCAAGTCCCCTCCTCGTGGGGGGAATCGATTGTTGCCCCCATCTTCAAAAACTGTTCGCGCAATGATTGCGCCAATCACAGGGGTGTAAACCTAATCCCGATAGTGTCGAAGCTGTTGGCGTCCGTCATTCTCTGCCGATTGTACACTACACGTGAGGAGCAGGCTGGGTTTCGCGCTGGTCGTGGATTCATTGATCAAATCTTCACCCTCCGACAGCTGCTAGAGCACCGTCATGTCCACCAAAGACCAACGGTCATTGCATTCTTAGACATCCGCGTGGCCTTCGACTTTGTCGATAGGACCGCACTATGGAACTGTTTCTTGAGGAATGGAGTAACTGAGAGGTGTGTGTCGATCCTCCAAGAGTTATGTCGTCATACCTCAGGTCGGGTTAGGGCCTATGGCCAGCTTTCACTACCTTTCGCCGACTCCAGTGGAGTTCGACAAGGTTGTCCCGTATCCTCATTCCGTTTTAACTTTGTCATAGAGGATGTTCTGCAGGACGCTTTGTCCGGTCTCGCAATCGGTGGAACCGAACTCAACCCAGGGAACAGAGTTATTGACTTGGAATATACCGATGACATCGCCTTGTTGGTTGACAACACACAGACAGTCCAAGAGGCTTTGAACCGCTTGGTGATCGAGGTATCCAGGTATGGTATGTGCTTTGCACGATCAAAGTGCAATGTGCTGGTTCAAGACTGGCATGAGTCTGTACCTGCATTTACTATTTCTGGCGATCAAATGAAAATGGTCGAGAGCTTCAACTAGCTCGAGAGCTTTATCACATCTGGAAGTGAGGTTGGGGAAGAGATCACATAACGAATAGGGAAAGCTAGAGCAGCTTTCGCCAACCTACGACACATGTGGCGCCGCCATGACATCCGACTGTCCCTTAAGGGAAGAATGTACACCGCCGCGGTCCGTAGTGTCCAACTTTACGGTTGCGAGACCTGGCCTCTCCGAACGGAGGATGCTAATCGACTTTCTGTATTTGACCACCAATGTCTGCGAAGCATTGCTCGTGTCTGGTGGGAACATCGGGTGAGCAATGACGAGGTTCGTCGTCGTGTGTTGGGCGCGGATAGTCGTTCTCTAACAGAAGTAATCGCTCTACACCGCCTCCAATTGCTTGGTCACGTATTGCGTATCGACTACCTTTCCGTGCTCTCTTCGCACGTGCCGAGCAAGGCTGGACGAAGCGACGCGGCGGTCAGACCATGACCTGGATTAGAGGCATGAAGAAACTGGCTTCAGGTTTGGCTTCGGTTGGTGCAGCCCGCGTACCAGGTTGGGGCCCAAGTGATGAGGATTGTCGTTGGTTAGAGACGCTGAGAGATATGACCCGGAATAGAAGTCAGTGGCACAAATGCTGTACGGTCTACCTGTCGAGATCCCGTGTCCCGTAAAAATCACGAACAACAAACAAATTTCAAAAAGTGTACGGTGAAACACAAAAAATTGTTGTTTCACTTTTTCGTAATCTTGTATTTTGACACCTACATCTTTTCCCTATACTCTATGCCACCCTCCCTCGTTATTGT